TCAGTTTTAAAAAGTTATGCTAATACAGCATACATTGAATGAAAGATTAAACGCACATTAACTGGAAAAGTTACTTTGGACACAAATTTAACATTTGCCAGATTCCTCCACCTTAAACCCTTCCTCCAAGAGAAAGATGATGTCTGGGAAGTGCAGAGAAAACAGATGGACAAGCTCCCAAGTCAGGTTAACAACAACAAAAAGGCATGTCCATTCTTCCAGTATTCAACCTTGCTTAATTGAAATACAAAAACTTAACTATTATGGACAAAATTCCCCTTTTTGTCCTAGACCAAGTCCCTAATCTGGAGCTAATCTTAGGGGCTCACATGTCTTGGTATGCAGTATTCTGATAATCTCAACAAAGCAGGATCTCTGATCATGGGGTATGTATTTTGCAGAACTACAGAAAGAGGAAAGACAAGTTAAAATCACTATTTTGCTGAAACTCTCCCAGTTTCTCTCTCTGAGCCTGTAGTAAAGTTAAGATCCTGTGATTTATGATTTCATGCTGCCATAGAAATTGTGATGTCAGATTTGGAGAAGGACATGGGCTATTTAATAGCCACTATCAAACCCAAACTATTAGGGTCTGGGATTTTTTGTAAGTAGTGAATGGATTTAATATTTTTCTTAGGATGAAAGCTGCTCCCCAAAACTTTAAATGCAGCAGTGGGAATTCAGAGGAATAATCTATTGCTAATGGAAAATGCCCACTTCCAAAGAGTTGAGAAAAAGCATGTCTCATAGCCTGATTTGTCAGGCTATGAGACTTTGTCCTCACCCACAACTATTTCACATTTGGGGACAATATATACCTTCAAGTCAGCGGCACTGCTATGCCATCATCTTTATGGCTGACTTAGAACAACGCTTCCTTAGCTCTCGTCCCCTAACGCCCCCATTCTACTTGCGCTACATTGATGACATCTTCATCATCTGAACCCATGGAAAAGCAGCCCTTAGGGAATTCTACCATGATTTCAACGATTTCCATCCCACCATCAACCTCAGCCTGGACCAATCCACACAAGCGGTCCATTTCCTGGACACTACTGAGCTAATAAGCGATGGTCACATAACCACCACCCTATACCGGAAACCTACTGACTGCTATACTTACCTACATGCCTCCAGCTTCCATCCAGGACACACCACACGATCCATTGTCTACAGCCAAGCTCTAAGATCCAACCACATTTGCTCCAATCCCTCAGACAGAGACAAACACCTACAAGATCTCTATTAAGCATTCTTAAAACTACAATACCCACCTGCTGAAGTGAGAAAGAAAGAAAGAAAGAAAAAAAAAACAGATTGACAGAGCCAGAAGAGTACCCAGAAGTCACCTACTACATGACAGGCCCAACAAAGAAAATAACAGAACGCCACTAGCCGTCACCGTCAGCCCCCAACTAAAACGCATCATCCAAAGATCTACAACCTATCCTGAAAGACAATCACTCACTCTCACAGATCTTGGGAGACAGACCAGACCTCAGGAGACAGACCAGACCTCGCTTACAGACAGCCCCCCAACCTGAAGCAAATACTCACCAGCAACCAAACACCACACAACAAAAACACTAACCCAGGAACCTATCCTTGCAACGAAGCCCGATGCCAACTCTGTCCACATATCTATTCAAGTGACACCATCATAGGACCTAATCAGATCAGCCACGCCATCAGGGGCTCGTTCACCTGCACATCTACCAATGTGATATATACCGTCATGTGCCAGCAATGCCCCTCTGCCATGTACATTGGCCAAACCGGACAGTCTCTACGCAAAAGAATAAATGGACACAAATCTGACATCAGGAATCATAACATTCAAAAACCAGTAGGAGAACACTTCAACCTCTCTGGTCACTCAGTAACAGACTTAAAGGTGGCAATTTTGCAAC